ACATGCCTGATGTTGGTTGATACTGGTTACTATTGTGATGCTCATTTAGGAGGAGCCTGGCAAGATGTATATATATCTAATACTATAGTATAACAGAAAGGAGCGCTCTGAGCGGCGCGTTTTTGCATTGTTTCATTTTGTTTGTATTTTGTTTCTATATTTGTATTGCGTTTCTATTGATTTTTGTGCCACTGAAAGAATACTATTCTGCCTCAAGCCCCCCCTCCCCCAAAGGCAATTTCCAAAATTCCAATTTTCCAAAATTCCAATTTTCCAAAAAAACCAAAGAAACCAAAAAAAAACAAAAAAACAATTGTGCCAGGACTTTGCCTCACCCCCTCTTCCCCCCATGGTCTGTGCAGAATTGTTTTTTTTTTGTGTTTTTTGGTTTCTTTGTTTTTTTTTTAAAATTGGAATTTTGGAAAATTGGAATTTTGGATTTTTTGATTTCCTGGGATATTATAAAATTTCCTGGATTGCGGTAGTCAAGTCTTTTGGGATTTTTGTTCCTTTCCTTTTTGTTTTTATTGTAGGGGTAGCATAGGTTGTTGTAGCAAATGTATTAGGTTGTTCTTGATTGATCTTATTACAGCACTTGCAAGGCTATGCCCAACCAAACGGGTTATTTCTGGTGACTTTTCCAATTCTTCTATAACATGTTTGTATTTCTCACTGTGATGAACATTTCTAGTTGATGAACATTTCTAGTAGGTACTAAGAACAGATCATCCATAATATCCCTTGTTAAAGATCCATCACAACCACCTGTGCCACTTATGTATAAAGTCTTACTTGTTTTGTAAAAAGCACTTGGTGATGAATAGGCATTCCATAAGCCCCTGCGGTCTTCTATCTTCTCCTTGTTTGCTATATTTTTTTCTTCAGCATATAGTGTTCTATGTTGTTTAAAGTGATCATTTAAGTTTCTTGTAAAGTCATTCATTCTATCATTCCAGTTTTGGTTCTTTTTTTCATAATCACTGTAGGTTTCTTGACCGATCTTACTGAATAACATCTGGGCGCTTCCAGGCAGATCCTTCCAGGCAATGTCAGACACATCAATCATTCTCAAGAAAATGCATGAAAAAAGGTTGAAAAATGCTCATTTTCATCGAAAAACGCGCCGCTCACAGCGCTCCCCTCTCTAGTATAATTATGTATGTATATATATATATATGTTTTTTTGTGAATAGGGCTTAGCATGGCTCGACATACGATTCTAGATTCAGGCAAAAGGTGGGTGTTCCTGGAACTCCGTGGTTTCTGCTGGAAAACATGGGTTTTAGTTTGCGGGTGAAAAGGAAAGGAAAGGTCTACCACCCTCCAGAGGCCATCGCTATTAGGGTGGAGGCCATCGCTAGTAGGGTGGAGGCCATTGCTATTAGGTCTACCAGCCTCTATCAACTGTTTGTTTTTGTTTTTGGTTTGTCTTTGTTTCGGCCAACCCTCACAGTGAGTTTCGGCCGGGGTTCGCCTCAGATCAGGTCCTTGCACTGGCCATGGCGCAATGTGCTAATGCCCTTCCCGTCGATTCACTGCTGGCGGTCTCCGCCTTCTTTGTCCTCCCAGAGGCCAGGATTCAACATGGGATCGTAGATTGCTTCAAGGAGAGTGCTAGTCAGTTCATGTTACTTTGGCTTCAAATGAGGGGACAGCTCAATGACGGCTTTTCATGTCACTATATCAACTGCTCCGGTTCTCCCCCCCAATTCAAACAAATCCATGTGGGGCCGTGGGTACTTTGGCTTGGCAGAAGCTGCCATTGGTCTCGTAAACGTTATAGAAGGTTCCTGTAATAGTATAACCTACTATAAAAAATAGTAGGGTCAGAAGCTGTCATTGCTCTTGGTATTTTTATAGTAGGTTCCTGACCCTAGGGATCCAGTCGTACCTTCTCAGGTACGGTGATGTGTTCGACACTGTCATGTAGGTGCCATTGTCGGGTCCAGTCGTACCGAACCTGAGGTTAGGTTCGATACGACTGGATCCCTAAGAGTGATATAGTGCCCAGGATCCACCCTACGAATTGATATCAGTTCTCCTGGGTGGTGTCTTCTTTTGGTCGGCATACGGCCGACAACATGAATGGTGTTGCGGCCCACAATCCTTCGCAATAGTTGCTTTTGGCACATCAAATCACCATGATTTACATTGATTTACTGGGGTGGCTTGGTGCTGGGTGACTGTAACCCATGCTGAATTGTCCGACTACATGGTTTCAACCAGGAGGTTGTCATATCCTTTGCAGAAAGTCAGACCGAATCCTGCCCTGACTGGGCAAGATAGCTATCAACCGTAGGGCTCAGGGTTCCCTTGGGCACACCCCAACATAGCCCAACTCAGGTAGCCCATCCGACCGCCTCCGGTCAGGTGGAGCATCCAACGTGTCGCTTGCCTTGCTTGGACATCATGGATGGCGGTCGACGAGCGAGCTGGGAACAATGTCACATCGAGACCTTTACCGTGCCTCGGCACTGGCGGCCTTCACTGATTCACTGCTGCGTTCGGTAGGGAGTGTGCGGGGTTGCGCGAGCTGCAGGAGCTGCCGGAAGAGAGAGTGCATTGGTATGAGTGCATCGGAATACTCGGAGTACAGACAAAAGTTATAGAAGAAGATAAGAATGACACTTATGTTTGGGTGCTGTTTCTCAAGGTCTTTAGGGCCATCCCAACTTCAATTGCGATTTCAAGGTAATCAAGGTAGAGGCTGTACCACAGAGCAGCCCACATCTCCAGAGAGGGAAGATTCAACTCTGTTGCTATAAAGAATTGATACTGAGAAGCAGAGTATTGATCTTGGAAACTCTACGATTTTCCAGCTTCCAATTTCAATAGGACCCATTCAGACTCACATTTTACCCGCACACCCCCCGGGTTGAAAGACAGTTTGGTCACAAAAAGCTTGCTGGCTTTGCGTTTGGGTTTGATTCTCAAGCAGTAGGGGCTACTTGTCCTCATCTACTGTGTGGGTGTTTCCAATATATATATATACATAATTGTGGCTATCAGCCACAAAGGTAGCTTCCTCGCCCGTCAACCAAATCTATCTAACCTAAGGGGCCCTATCCCTAATCAAACCAAAGGTGGTCCGCCACCCTGCCGTCGCACCGCTTTTCTCGGTGCTTGTCCTGTCCCTGTCGGCCTTGAGCCAACGCGTATTGCGTTGGTGTCGTCGTCGATCGAACAACCATTCGAAGGTTTGGTGCTCAACTGGATTGATTCACATTGACTCTATTTTCTTTTTCGAATTGCACGGTTCAGCAAAAGATTCGATCCATCGTGAGCTAAACTTTCGATTTGGGTTCTCCTTGAGGGCACTGTCATCATCGTAGATTCTGAATTTTCCAAGAGCGAGCACCCGTCGTAAAAAGGATGAGTCCATTGGCTTTGTCAGACAGTCTGCAAGCATAATGGCTGTCGATATCCATCTACACTCGGTGTTGTCTTGGGTCTGCTGTTTTATGAGCATCACCTCTATGGTCGTTCTCCACTCCTGACAGTTGGGAGTCGCCATTTTGTTCACCAAGTCATACAAACTCTTGCAGTCTGTGATGAGTAGAGCCTTAGTCTCATTCTTTAGTGACTTTTCGGGTGTCTGCCACTTGAAGCTTCCGTCCTTGATTACTGCCCACATGCATCTAAGCCAAGTCAACTTATCTAATGAAGAAGACATTGCATATGCTTCAGCACTTAGGGTCGATCGAACTACTCTACTTATCTGCTTGGAGTGCCATGCTAATGGGGATATGCTTGATATTTTGTTTTCTCCAAGTTCTTTTGTACATGCTGCTATGAAAACTCCCTGCTGTGCTTTCAATTGCTGCTCCGATGCAAAACTTGCGTCTCCAAAGCTGGCAAAAGTTATATCTTTCATTGGAATTGGTTGCACCAATACGGATGTTGTGGCTGTGTCCTTTGCTTCCCTAAGGATTTTGTTTGCTTCTAGTAGATCTTTGATCTTTGCATCACAAACCCGCTTTTGCAGAAAAGATACCTTTGCCATTATATCTGGACGCGAATGCACTGCTGCATACTGAAGGCTTCCACATAGAGCACGAAGCTGGTGTTGCTCATGGTTCGATACAGGTGATTCTGTTTCTTTTCTTCTGATTTTTGCAACATCTATTGCTTCTATTTGATGTACATAATCTTCTTGTCCTATTTTGATTGAGTATAGTCACGGACGACCAGTAGGCAGAAAATCGAGCGTAGGAATCAGTTAGCAGATGTGCTCAAGGTTGGGGTAGGATGACCCAGGATTATGATATGTATATGCTTACTGCAGTGGTCTTCCCATTGATGCGTATGTTAAAAGTTTCTGCTTACTGCAGTGCTTGCCCAGATGACACGAGTACATCAAACCTTTATCCAACAAAAAAATACATATATATATATATAGAATCAAACATGTTTGCGTTGGGGAATAGAATCATTTGACAATCTTTCGCAATCAGCCCTCCTCACTGACATCATCTCAACCGATGGAACGGATCCATTTTCCAACGGTTGAGAAGCTGAAAGGCACTTTTTAAAGCACAGTATATATATATATATATATATCCACACTGCAGTTAGCAGATTCACTTCTGCTTACTGATGTATGGTCAAGTAAATGCAGTAATCAAGTGCAAAAACACACCACGCACACGCCTTTTCTCTTCCCAATCCCATAAATGCCATAAAAAAGCATCCGTCAAAGCCATCTAGGCAACTGCCATCTAGGCCACTACTCATGCAATTTGCTGACTCCAAAAACAGAGTTATACAGCCACTTAAGAGTCTACGCGTATTTTCTAGACTATATATATATTTATAGAGGACACAGATAAAACTGACAGCACAAGTACTGGGATTCCCAAAGGACATCACTTGGCCAGCATACGCATGCAAACTGTGAATTCGTGAGGTTCTGTACCAACATTGAAAGCTCCTTCTCGGACCTATATATATATAGAAGGTTGCTAAACACTTTCAAATCGCTTCATGCTGCGGCTGCCAGCTCATTGCTTCAAATCCCGGCCAAGGCCCACAACCAAAGCGCCCTTGAGTGTGCAAACCTTCTGCTTGGTAGCTGCGCAAGCTGGATTTTCTGCTTGGTGGCGCTCCCAGCCCCATAGAAGAACTTCGAGCAAGGCCCGACAGCAAGAGACATGCCCCTTTTTGGGAAGATGTCCCCAGGAACGGGCACGGGACATCTTCTGACCAGCTTCCGCTGTGGGATACCTGACCTGCCACATTTGAATAGTGCCATGTAAGGCCAATCCGCAGCCTGTGACATTTGGCAGATCTGCCATGCCCAACTGATTGAGGAACTGGAAGGCTGGCGACTCCAAAAACCCAGAGCCTTTGGGAGTAGTAGCCACAGATGGTGTGTCTGCTGATGAGCTTGCGTTCGTACTTCCTTCACACACGAAGCTGGTGTCACAAAGCTCAAAACTAACCCCATCATCTTCGCTGGCGATGTCATCATTATCTGACAATGCTCCATGATCATTGTGACCAGCCTTGCCTGTCTGCTCAATTTCCTCAGCTACCTCCAAGTCAGCAGGCATATTTGCCTCAAGCACTGCTTCAGCAGGTTCTTCATTGATCTCCCCGGCAGCAGCCACCATTGCAAGCTCTTTCTCTGCCTCATCCCCATCTTCAGCCTGCGCAGGAACTCAACACAGAGATGCAGTAAGCAGAGCCCAGATCTGCTTACTGGGGTCTCTCTCTATATATATACTGTGTTTCAAATGTTTCAATACAGAAAAGTCGTGACTGACCATTACGTCTAGAAAGCAACAACTCACTTGCCTCTTCGTCTTCCTGTGGATCCTCCTCTGCCCGTTTCCTTTTACGGGGTGGACCAGACATGCTCTCAAGGACATGGGAAGTGGATAGGGAGAGAGCACTCAGGTGAACTCGCAGCTCCTGAACTTCTCTTGATGCGCCAGTCACACTCACAATCCGGAGTTCCCTCACTTTCTCCTCTGAAGTCTGGGACAGCTGTCGCAGGGTCAAGTTGGTAATCGAAAGCTGGTAGGCCTCAATGAACTTGGAACAGTTGACCTTGACAGCCCCTTGCGCAGCCTTTCCTTTCAGAACAGACTTGTTGTAGACCTCGGGAGACGCCTCCTTGCCGGTTTTCTTACAAATCAATATGATCTCATCAGAGCCCTTGCCACTCTTTGTGTTCTCAAGCTTGGTGAAAGCGTTCTTGGTTTTCACATCATTTGCCCCAAACTGCTCCAACCTGTGGCGGTACAATGCTTCACAGTCTTGAAGCCTTCCATGGAAAGCAGCCAAATGCTTGTTCAGGATGGCCTGCCAATGCTGAGGTAAACACCGCCAAAGGTCTTCCTCGACTTCCCAGTCTTCTGCAAGCTGGTCCACCACATCAGTCTTGATCTGCCACAAACAAGTTGTTCTGGAGATGTCTGGCTGCTTCCAAACCTCTTCCATTGGAGCTTGCCACTCATCGCCTTGGACCTCCAACTCGCAGCTAGCCATCTCCTTGGATAGATCATCCTTTGTGATGTTGATATCAGCATTCGCTTCAATCATCTCCTCGTAGGTGCACATGCCACGAGACAGCCAGGCCCACCTGCCAGAATGAACTGCAAAGCAAATCCCAACGCTCTAGTTATAATTATATATATAGCAGATGTCCAATCTGCTTCATTCATGCCATCCCCCCCTCGACACCCAAACATGGACACCCACCCTTGTATTTGCACCCTGCCTCAAAACATGCCTGTTCTTGGCGATTCGCTTCCACCCATAAATGGATGCCATCACCGAGTCGAGGTGGGAAACAGTATGGTGTGGGTTTCCATTGCTGAGCAGCAAGGGGCTTGATGTTGCCTGTGTAAGCAAGGATGATCGGTATCCCAATGAACTCTCTGTGTAGAAGCAAATGAACCTTCTATAGACACTATGAATCGCGTCACATGGCTGGCCACGTGCCGACCAGCCGCCAGGCTGCCGACATGGTAAAACGACCTTGTTCGACAATGAGAAGGCTTCACCTTGGAGCAAAAAGATTGAATTTGCCAAGAGAGGAACACAAGCCTGCAGCAAGCAGATATCTGATCTGCTTACTACTGTCGTGCGAATATATATATATATAACACCATACAAACAACTGAGTTCAGATATATATATATATGTATATTCGGTGAGTATGCATATGATTATATACATAGAGAAGGTCACAAGCCTGCACTAAGCAGATATATGATCTGCTTACTACTGTTGCACAAGAAAAAACACACAGGTACAAGTCACGCTGAATGTCGGTCCCTGCGCTGCTGCTGTGGTGTCCGGTGAAGCTGTCGCAAAGGATCAACCCCCAGGTGTCTTCAAAGGACTTGTTGAACCTCTCTGCAAGCTGCCTCCGTCTATAAGCAAAGGTAGGAGCTAAGACCTCCTCATAGTAGGAAACGACCGTATCCCCATTCATAAAGTGACTGGAACGGCCAGAAAAGAGGAAGAAAACCTCGGGCTGGAACTTCTGTCTCAAAGTGGCCAAGTCATCGTCACTAAGGAACCCATTGGGAAGGACCACGGTCAAGGGCCCACACTCTCCATTTCCCCACAAACTGGTCACCAGTGTGACAGAATGCCGAGAGTTGTTGACGTTGTTGGCTCGTGGGTCCTTGCCTGACAGGGATGAGTTGATATATATATATATAAAAGTATATATATATAGAAAAGTCCTATATATATATGTATAGACACATTTG